CAATGTGATTCCAAATCTGATACACTGGACATGATTGATGTGATTGTTAGCGTTGTCAACTTGACAAAAGGTTAGAATCACTTGGGAAATGGGCCACTGGGCATGTTCATAGAGGGTTATCTTGATTGCATTTATTGAGATAGGAGGAGTTGTCTCCTGTAGGTGGCGCCACTCCCTAGGCAGGAGATTCTGGATTGTATAAGAGTGGAGACATTTGAGTTAAACACTAGTGCGCATTCATTAATTGCTTCTTGTTCTGAATAGTACATAATCTGTTCCAAAGTTTCAGTCTCCTGCTGTCTTGACTTCTCTTCCATTGTAACCTATAAACTAAACTGTCACCTAAAAGCTTTCCCTTGTGTTGCTTTTGTTGGAGTATTTTATCAAAGCAACAGGAAAAGCACTAAGACAGTAAATCATGACTTATTGCTGCTTTTTGCATAGAAGAAGAAAGTCTTGAGTGAAAAATCTTAGTGAATGTGCTTGGTTATTCTGATGTCACCCAGTACTTCCTGCTCAGTAGGTCACAGCAGTGGTATCATGAAGAGGCCTGGGGGGAGGGTCAGGGAAAAGGTGTATTTTCCTACTCCTGCCTCAGTTTCAGGAAGTTCCAGTCAAGAATGAGATCAGAGATATAAGAACCCAGACATCTCAGTGTCCAGTCTGACAATACACAGGGAGAGCTGAGCATAGGTCCTGGTAACCTCCCAAGAGGATTCTAAGATTCATTCCTTTCTCCTCACACAAGCTGCCCTGAGACCGTGTAACTGGAGTTCTGACGGTCCCTTGTTTGTGTCAGTGTAATATTAGATTTAAATTCCAGATCCATGAATATGCTAATCAGAGTGAGGCTTGACTGGTGTGAGGTGGTGTCTGAAAGGTGGTATTTTTATGAAGCTCATTCGGGTAATTCTCATAGCCAGTAAGATTTAGGTCTATTAATTTGCAAAGATGCCTTGTGTGTCTTAGCATGGCAGCTAGGTTTTCTGTAATATTGCTTCCACCTCAGTTCCCTGTTCCACCTCGTGCCTAGTTCTTTCTCTTGTTCCCTTCCTATCTTTGTGCCCTACAGGAGGCCAGGCCCTCTGCAGACAGGACAGCTTCCGTGTAACGTGATGCTTTCTTAAGCCCATGCTTTAGCATCTGTGACGTCCTTACCAGATGTCTGTTGAATGAACTAACATCCTTCAAGGGCCAGTTTAATCTTCATCTCTATCTCTGGGTTTCCTGGTAACCACCCATCTGCCTCCAGGATTGACTGATCTCTCCTTGCATTCCTATAATACATGGAACATTTTGTCCCTATTATAGTTACAGTGACATATTTTCTACTCCCAGTATTGGCACAAACAGCTAAATAGTGGGATACGGTATTTTTAAATAGAACAGAGAATTTGAAATTATGTTTATGCCTAATCTCTGAAGTTTTCAGCCAAGATAAAAATAATACTTATTATGATCAAGAAATACAGAAGTAGTGTATAATACAGAAAACTCCCCAAAGCTTCTCAGGGCAACAAAAAACTTTCAATTCCACATCCTTAGGCTAATTCCAGTTTCTGGAGGCAACAATCAAGATAAAATCAACAATTTTGATCAGATAATTCAAAACTCTATAGAATCATAGAGGTTATTCCTATGTCTCTTGTCAGACAGCTCAAGGTTTGTTTTCTCTCACTAGAGATACATGTTTGCTTGCTTCTCTGGTGTTCTTCCGGTGATAACAACAATTTTCAAATGCATATTTAAGCTTGTACAAACCCATAGAATTTCCTTATGCCTTTTTTACTAAATGGTTTATCTTGGAAATTTACTCCATGCCCATAAGTGAGGAGACTTCTCATTCTTTTGTGTGGTAGGCTGTTTCACTGCTATCAATGGTGTTAGCATTTACTTAGTTGAGGGAAATTAAGCGGGTTGCTTATTTTTGCTACTGTAAGTAATTCCTCAGTGTATATATATCACTTTTAGGGTACAAGAATAGCTGAGGCTGAGCTACTAAAATTGGAATTGTTGGTGTGTACATTTTTATATTTAATGGACATTGTCAACTGGTTCTTCATGGAACATATGTGAATGATGTGCCCAGTGCAAGCGTATCTGGTGACCCAAGTGCTACAAAGATTCTTTACTCTCTGCCATTCTGCTACCTGAGAAATAGTATATCTTGATAGTTTTAATTTGCATGTCTCATTATAACAAGACTGAATCTCCTTTCATGCAGCTACAGCTAATTACGCTTCCTGTGAACTTCCTTTACAGGATGTATTGGAAAAACCTAATCAAATTTTCTCATTTTCCCCTTTATAGTCTCTGGAATCCGTTACATTTAGAAAGATGTTTAGCATGTAAAATAAGCTTCACAAATATTTCTCAAACTTCAAAGTTTGTATTATCTGGTCAAAACTACTGATTTTATTTTAATTGCTGCCTCCAGAAATTGAGATTAGTCTAGGGGGATAGAATGGGGAGTCTTTTGCTGGCCTGGGAAGGTGTTTTAATCATCATATTGATACTTTCTCCCTATACTAGAATTTCATTCTGGCTTGAAAATTATTTGTTCTTGATATATTCCTTAAGGGAACTAGTTTTAACTATTTTCCAAATCTATGGTGTTCTTTTCTGTATGTTGCTCATCAGTATAATTTTTTTTATTGCCATAATGGTGATAGAACCTGGTACCTCATGCATCCTAAGCAGGAACTCCACCACTGAGCAACATCTCCAGACTCCTTTTGTAGTGTTTCTGGTCCATTGTAAGCTTTTAGTATGACCTTTTATTTATGGTCATTTTCTTGTCTGAGTACTAAGAGTTGGTGATTCTTCTCTCTCTGTTCTATGAGCCAGTGTTACTAAGAAAGTATCTCCTTGGCGCTGATCATGCACTAAGCCAAGACTGTTGTTTGATAATGTTTATGTTGACATGTGATTACAATTCTAATCTATCATCACACATTTCACAACTATGTTTTCCTTTTGCTACCTCCCATTTAGGTGATTTTTGTTTGTTCTTCTTCCAGTAGTACAGGTGATATTTTGTCAACTTTCCTTGAAACTATTTTTGTTATTTTGAGTCAGGTTCTCACTATATAGCTCAGGCATTCTGGAACACACTATGCAAATCTGGCTGGCCTTGAACTTACAGAGATCTGCCTGCTGGGGTTAAAAGTGTGCACTACCACTGCCCAGCATTCCTTCATAACTTTTTAAAAAATATTTGCCTATTTATTATGTGTACAGAGTTCTTTCTGCACGTATCCTTGCAGGCTGAAGAGGGCACCAGATGTCATTACAGATCATGTGATTGTTGGAAATTGAACTGAGAATCTCTGGAAGACCAGCCAGTGTTCTTAACCACTGAGCTGTGTTCCTGGATAACTTACAGTTTTCATAGAGTAATGTTGTATTCATATGAGAGAGATGAAAATACTTCCTCACAAGAGTGGTGATGTCCCTGGGTCACTGCAAGTTTTCAGGGCATTCTGCCCTGTACAGACACACACAGTGATTTTTGGCTTGGACTCTCGCATTCAGAGGGTGTCAAGCAGTGTGGCCCCTTCCAATTTGGTGTCCCCCTCCCAGCTACCTGACTGTCTTTTCCTTGTGATGTCACAGAAGGTCCAGAAGATGTCTCTTCACTAATGGATCCTTGGACTATCCTAATGATTACATGGGGTGGGTGGGGCAGCTATTTCCCCCTCCAGGGTATGAAATCTCCCATCAAAATTGTGCTCTGCTGTCTCTAGATCTAAAACCACGGGCAGTCCTTTATATTTTTCAGAAACTTGATGTTAAGTTTTAGACAGTTCTTCCTCACACAGGAAGCTTAATTATTATTCGCTCCAGCTTACAAAAGAAAAGGAAAGCTCAACACAATTAAACAGAGTCATCCGAGGGCACTTGATTAAGAAGGTCTGAAGCTGAGATTTAAGCAGGAGTTATAACTAAGCTACTTTACTCCATGGGTTCTTTACTCCATGGCACCTAGATTTCCAGTTATTTTTACACCAAGTATTGTAGTTTGTTCTCTGATATTGGTGCGAATCTCTCCTATTCTCGAGATGATCCATCTCAGAAGCAAATAAAACATGTTTTCTGTTTCTAGATTCTTAAGAGTGCCACACAGCCGAGGTGTCTGTCCTGGGGTGAGATGGGGAGAGGGTGTCAAAGTGATAGCTGCTTTATCTAAGACACTGTGGGAAAAGTGACTCCTGCGGAGTCCTTTCTCCATTTTGTTTCTGTTTGAAACTAAACTGCAAACTCTGCTTTTGGTTTGGCGCTATTGCCTCCCATCTGGTTTCTGCTTGCCAGGCCCGGAGAGTTACCACACAGAGATCTTACATTTGGGGTTTGTTGGGCCAGAGATTCAACAGACCCTACTGACTTCTTGCTGAAATTCTGGCTATGCCACTAGTCAGTCACTAGGTGAGCTAGAACTCATCCGGCAAGCCTTGGTGTGCATTGATGCTACTATCTGGGCAGGTTGCTCCTTGGGGTGTGAACAAAGGCTGGGGAAGAATCGACCTTTTCCAGAGAAGAAGGGACAACAGAAGGAAAGAGAAGGGTGCCAGCTGACTAAATTCTTTGCTTAAAATATTAAAAGAACGCATAAGCACGCAGGTTTATATTCGCATTTTCCCATTCTTAGTCCTAGCCATGGAGCAATCCCTAGATGGCTTCATCTATGATGGGAGAGGAAAGTTTATGTTTATCAGGAGAACCATTGTGGTTTCCTCGACGTGGGCCCATTCGCAAGGAGACACACCAAGAAACAAATCAAAACTTGAAGCCCAAATAAAGACTAGCGGCTTGAAAAATTTATAGAGGTTTGAGAAAATACCCTTAACCTCTTTAACACATCGTTTCTCTTCATGTTCCGTTCCAGGCCTCGTTCCTACATAGATGAGATTTAAGAAGGCAGGGACGGGCTGGAGCGATGGCTCAGCCGTTAAAGGCCAGGCTGGCAATCAAAAATATAAGAAGGGAGAGACAAGCTGGCATTCTTTATAGTCATCTTTATTTTATGCCACAAACTTTTATTTTCCTTCCTAGGAAGTACTTTCACTTGAACTACTGTCAACCGGGGGAGGGTCAGGAGACAAAGCAGCTTCAAAGAGCAAAGAACCTGGAGGAAATACCGGGCTTCAAGGACACACGCTGCGTGTCCTGTGGACACACATTGGCCTTAACTTGAAAGCCCCTGGAACTTCTCATTGACAGCCTGCAGGGCCGATAGCTGTTTCTTGAGGTCCTCTATTTCCTTCTGTAGCTCCGGACAACGGGGACAGCCCTGTATTCCGGGCTGCATCTCTGGATCTGGAGGTGAGGGGCCCCCAGGTGATTCCTGGTCACCAGAGGGTGCAGATATTCTAGGCATGACACCTTTCTGACTCAAGGGTGAGGACTGCGAGTTTGCTGGGTCCTGGAAACTTCTGGTGCTTATATCCCCACCGCTGAATTCTTGATGCACACCCTGGCAAGGCTGAGAGCAGGGATCCCTGGCTAAGTCGGCGTCTTCTTTGGCTACCAACTGTAAGTCCCTTGTCCTCTTTGCCCCAGATCTCTTCACAGTGTAGAAGTTTTTGCACTGTTTGGGCCTCAGAGGCAGCAGTGAGCATTTATTGGACTTCCCAGGCAGCCCGACACCAGAGATTGGGGGGAAGGTGGCTGGTTCTGCAGGAGCTGACTTTAGTCTCTGGCCCCACTGATGGAAGGCTCTCCCCAGGGTAACAGCGGAGGCATCCCACAGCGGTTTTTTCTTTGGGGTCATCTTCTTTCTAGGACTGGCCTTGGGCAGGCCACCGGCTACAGGAGCTTCTGGATAGCTGGGCTTGGCTCCTCCCTTACCCCATAAGGTTCCTGGCTTTTTCTTAGAGGAAAAGACTTCCAGTTCCTTCGAGGTCTGCCTTTCCAGGCCAGAGGTGATTCCCCGCGTAGTAGAGGTCAGTAGCGAGGAAGACATCCGGATGAAGCTGTCCCTGGCCTGGACGTTTACATGTCTCCCTAGGTCACCGGTCTCTGCTGGGCCACTGGCCTTAGCCTGGCTCCCATCTTTGAGGCAAATGGTCACCCTCATCATCTGCATCTCATTTAATTCATCGGGCAACTCAGGTTCGGGGATGGGAGCGTGGGCATCCTCGCCGATGACCATCCTACTAGAGGTACTCTTCCTCGGGGTCACCCAGGCCCTGCTTTGCTCCAGTCCCTTGGGGAAGAGAGTGGTGGCAGAGACTGGCTTTGCCTCCTCGGAGCCGGAGGCCTGCGGACCTTTCCTGCCTGTCTCGGTGGTGGCACCAACGCCCTCTGGGGATGGTTGCTCTCTGACTCCTGGGGACTCTAGGTTGGACACCTGCTGCCCGATGGCCACAGTCTCTACCCTGGGTGGGGAGAGGAAGTCTAAACCGACCACCTTCTCATCGACTGGGGAATCTACACTCTCTTCCTCGGGCACCGGGGACTCTGGCCAGCATCCGCCAGCCCAAAGGACCACTGATGTGGACTCTGATGCTTCCAGCTGGGACACTGGCAGGAACTCGCTGACTTTGGGGGCCAGGAGGCTGCCTTTGCCCTCGCTGCTCTCAGCAGGACTTGGGGCAAGGATCAAGCTTTTGGTTTGGTCTCCTTCCTCCACATAAACTCCATCTTCTGGAACAGACGCCTCCTCAGGAGAGTTCATATTGGCAGTCCCGGAAGCGGAAGTAAAATTCCAGGAAGACCGTTGCTCGGCTCACTTTAGATGCAAAGCGCAGTCTCAAAGATGCAGGAAGACCTCTGCAGAGGCCTCACTTGTTGGCCTAGCACCCAGCATTCTCTATGATGACTCGTTTTCTCCTAAAAATTTTAATTGCATCACAAAAAAAATCTACTGAACGTTAATAAAATAATTTTATCACGTTTGTGTGGCCAGGCTTCAAGGCTTTCTTTTTTCTTTCTTTGTTTTTTGATTACAAAAAAAGCCACAATAAGTTTATTTGTGTATGTGTGTGTGTGTGTGTGTGTGTGTGTGTGTGTGTAAGTGTGTGTGTTTGCTAAAATATTTATTTCAGAGGAAAAACAGATATAAACAAATTTAGCCAAATAAATTTTTTGACATAGGATGACATGTAGCCCAGGTTGTCCTCAAGCTTGCTTTGTACTGTGACTATGATTTTGAATTCCAGATTGCTCTGCCTCCATATCTCAAGTGCTACTAGGACTATAGGTCTGTATCACTGTGCCACATTTATGTGGTCCTGGAGATTGACCCAGCGCTTTGCAAGCTACCAAATGAGCTACACCCCCAGTCCTAAGATAAGACTTCCTCAGCAGTTTTGATGCCTGCACAGTCTTAAATGGCTCCAAGAAGAGCTAGCTGTCCCTGATTCACTAAAACGGAGTGGAGCCATGGTCCTCACATGATTGATAGCCCTGTTTACAGGAGTGTCCAAACAGAGTCCCTTGGTCAGTCCTGTTGTTGTCAAGTTAGCATGATCACTTGCTATATTTGCTATGGTGCCCTACTGTTTCCACTCTCTCCCGTTCTAAAACTTTTCCTTTACACGCTTGTTAAAGTTCAAACCAAACAACAGTCATCTTGAATCTTTCCCGTTCATTTAGGATGGGTTCAAAGTCCTTCATGTGGCCTACAAGCCATTTCTGAGCTGGCTAGCCTCTTCCAACGTCATGGTCAGCAGACCGCTCTGGGCCACTGGTTCTCAGTCACACCAGTTTTACTTTAAAACATGCCAAGTCCAGTCTCATCCAGACTTTTACACTTGCCCTTCGTTGTTTAATCACCTTTCTTCAGAGATGTACACAGAGTGGTCTCCCTTATTGTTTAGAATTTGAATCAAGTGATACCTCTTTGGCGCACCTTCCTGATCATTCTGGCCAGCAGCCACCTCTCTCCCAGTTGCCAGTCCTGCTTAGCAAATGTCCCCCTCCCCGCTTTGTTTTTCTTTGTAGCATTTTTTTGCTTCCACTTCTCTCTTAAAATGTACTGTTTTATTAATTCAGCACTGGAATGTGAACTCCAGGCTAGGTTAAAAACTGCATCTTTCTCAGCTACGGACTGTGATTATTCTACTTAGAGTTGTTCAACTGTATTATGGTTGAAGCCAGATATTATCCCTTGAATGAATGGGATCTGGAGGATGGGTTACCATTTTTATTGCAAAGTTAGTTTGGAATATTCTAAAACAATTTCCAATTCAAGTCCAAAATTCCATTGGATGTACTAAAGTTATTAAGTTTTAAAAGTGAAATCTAGAATGCAGAGAAAAATGGTAGATGTTGGACTTCAATAAACAGTCATGTCCTGAGTTGTAATGTTTGCTTTCTTAGATTTCTTCCTTGAGAAATATTTTTTTTGTGTTCTTTTGTGAGCATATTCCTGGATTGAACACTGAGACAAGAATGGAAAAAGTGTTTGAAATAGATCTCACCTTTTAACAGCACACAGCTCAGTCGTGAAAACAAATACACTGATGTTCATGCTGTTTTCCTCCAGCACACACAAACACATACATAGGATGACTGAGATAAAATTCAAACAAGTGTGGTAATAAAAAGACTCTAGTATTTTACATGTTAAGAATTAGCCCATTTGTATCCCTTTGGGCCCGAATATATGGGTAGTATCCTACTACTTTTTTTTCATAACTTCTTTGTTTTTACTTTTTGTTACTTAAAAAATTAAAATTGAAAACAAAAACACACTTATTAAATGCTTTAAATACATATATATTCAATTCTCATAACAACCATATGTGTTTGCAACTATTCTCCTCCTTACCTTTTTTTTGTGATTCTTTTAATATTTTTTTTTTTGGTTTTTACGAGACAGGGTTTCTCTGTATTGTTTTGGAGGCTCCTCCTTATCTTTAAGAAGAGGAAAATCAGGCTCACACAGTAACTTGCCCAGGACTACACAGTCACCAAATGGGAAAGCATTATTCTAAAGCCTGTGCTTGAAACCATCACACTGTTAAGCAGCATTTGATATAAAACATGCTTTGAAAACATTTGAGCAATTTCTAGATTGTTTCAGAGCTAAAACAGACTAGTAAAGGTACTTGAACTGGGAACAATGCAGATAGAATCTAGCCATTTCAAAAGCAAAAATGAAATTGCTAGGTTAAGTCCATGAAATAGAAACTTCTAGAATTGTTACAGTCAAAGTAACTGAATCCCTATGTCTATAGAATTAGGCTTGCTCAGGTCAGGGAAGGAGAATAATAGTTTTAATATATACTCTTTGATTGAGCTAAATAGGCACAAACAGTTCCACAGCTTCTTAATCAGGGTATGAGTATCTTTTCATCTCCTAACTCCTCTTCATTTCGTCCTTTCCCCTTTCCTTTCTTTTATTCTATAATATGTGTCATCATATAATCTCCTGAGCCTCATTTAATTTGTACATATTTGGGAATCATTTAATATGTATTTGTAAAATTATACAGAGTTCCATAAAATGAACATGCTTGTGTGGTGTTGAGGCATATTATCTTGAGAATTAAACATGAAGTATTGTTATCATGAGTTTGACTGGCATTGTTCAACATTATATTAGCCTGACAATTCCAAGAGCACAGCTTTTTTTCCAAGGGAGCCCGACCCCACTAAATACTATGTTAGAGAAAGCTTAAGATGATCTAGATGATGCTCAGCATCTAGATGGTGAATTTTTGTCGACATAAACCTAGAGATACTTGGGATTCCCTCCACTGAGGAACTGGATCGACCAGATTGGTCCATCTGCATTTATATGGGATCATTTTCTTGATTTCTAACTGATGTAGGAGGGCTACATCAGTGCTACTGTGGACAGTGCTACCCAGGTGGGCCTGGACTGTGTAAGAAGGACAGCTGAGCAAACTGGTGCACGTAAGCCAGTAAGCAGCATTCTGCTCTGGTCTTTGCTTGAGTTTTTAACCTTCAGTTTCCTCTTTTGAGCTTCATCCCTTGCTTCTCTCAATGATGGACTACAGCCTCTAAGCTGAAATATGCACCACTTCATCTTCAAGTTGTTTTTGGCAATGACATCTATCATGGCAGTGGAACCGTGAATCAGGATGCCACCCATGTTCTGGAGAAAAGGCACTTGTTTGAGATAGTTTGTTTCTGATCTGCTCATGAATGGCACAAGAGAAGATACTATTACTCATCAGATAGATTTGATATTGTCATTCATATTTCATACACAGGGAACTTGCACTTCAAAGGAGTCAGGTACATGGTTAAAATAACTAATAGGATATTATGCACAACAGAGTAGAAACTAAGCAGTAAGGGGGTTATACTACCAGAAGATTTGGATCTATGAGAAATAGTATTATTTGGTGGAAGAATACAACAGTTCTGGATAGCATAGCAAGTGGGTGCTGGTGCTGTAATAAGGAACCCAACTTTACATACATGGATGCTAGGTTTGGATGCTGAAGTGTGCTAACTACATAGTTTTTATGAAGGATTCCCAGGGTGACAGGATTGGGAATTCAGATGGATCACAGTTTCCCCTTAGAGGGCAGGGCCTCATCACGGACTGGGATAATACTGCTGTCATCACATTTCTTATTTGGAAACTGAAGCACGTGTTGCAATTCCACTCATCCAACACCTCAGTCCCAATGTATTCTCACATTCCTCTCTAAGCAATGTGTCTGTGGAGTTTCCTGTAGCAAAGTGTATCTCCCGTGTGGCTTGTGTGTCAAAGTACTCGTGGTCATCCAACATCCAGCCAGAAACAAGGAGATACTTCTGTTCAGTTTCATGTGAGATCTCAGTCCTCACATAGTAGGTCTGTTCTGTGCAGTTGCATACAATGTGATGCTTATCTAGAAGCTAGATCCGTGGCTGGCTCAGCTCACAAGTCACCCCACAGTGTCGATTATAAGAAGGCATGATGATACTGGTGTCCACTGACCAGGGTCCATCAAATACACCAGTTTAAGGCATCAAATAGGCAGTTTAAGAACTTGAGAGATTCTTGAAAGGTATCATGAAGATTTGGATGAGCATTATCCCTCTGTATAGGAGAACTTACTACACACATGCACATACCACACACACACACACACACACACACACACACACACACACATACACGTACATGCACCACAGACATACATACCACACACACACACATCACACACATACACACACACACCCCACACACATCACACACACACCACAGAGACAGACAGACATAGAGACACAGAGACAGAGTTTATAAAATAGGTTTCCATATCTCTCCCCCTACTCCCTCTGCTCCACCTCATGATCTCCCACAACTTACCCCCCATTCGGCTGCTTCCCTGCTTTCCTCATATCATCTAGACCTGAAACAGAGAAGGAGGTGCTGTGGTAGGGCGCATCTGGGATGAGTTGGAAGCAGAGCTGGGGAGGTAAGATCAAAATACATTGTATATTTGCATTGAACTCAATATATAAAAACATTTTTAAATGGTCTCATGTAGTTTATAACATCGTTGGCACCATCAGAAAATCAGAATTGGAACCTGTGTAGCCAGAAAAGAAAAACATTATTGAGACTGTCGCTGCTGTCAGTGAATACGGACACTCTCTGTTCATCAACAATGGCACCAGTATCCACCTCCGCCATCTTGGAACGTGACGTTCCACAGCTTCGCCTGTAGTGTGACTGGCGTGGCAGCTTCTTCCCCTGTTTTCTTAAAAACGCACTGCTGTCCCAATGGGATCATGTAGCT